GAAACGCCGGAGCCAGTTCATGCAGAGACGCAGGAACCAGTCCATGCAGAAACGCCGGAGCCAGTTCATGCAGAGACGCAGGAACCAGTCCATGCAGAAACGCAGGAGCCAGTCCATGCAGAGACGCAGAAGCCAGTCCATGCAGAGACGCAGGAGCCAGTCCATGCAGAGACGCAGGAGCCAGTCCATGCAGAGACGCAGGAGCCAGTCCATGCAGAGACGCAGGAGCGACATCTGTCGTCTGTGGTCTCTGACTTATATACTCACCAGTACGGAAATGAGGTCCGCACGGGTGGCCCATTCTCCGCGGTTTGGATGGCGTGGATGTACCCTCGTGTCGTTGTTGCTGGAATTGTTTGTGCCGTCTTTGTCACGGTGGTTTGGGTGCTTCTGCTGCGTAGGTCGTCTTTCTCTCCACGCGGGGCTGGGGCTTTATCTATAATGCGCTGGCAGCTGACGCGTGATGATCTTCTCTGGGAGGCGGTTGACGCGCGGTTTGCCCTTCTTTTGGGCGTCCTATCTTCCTCTTTTGATGTGTCACATGCGCAGAGGCTTTGCCTTCGCAGCGTTGCTGAGGCGTACTTTGGCAGTTGCGAGTTGCACTATGTAGACCTTGGGAACAGCATTTCGATGTGGGAGGACCTTGAGGGGCAGCTTCGCGGGGCGGATGCACACTTTTCGCGACGTATCCGCGAGTTAAAGTGGTCGCTTCAGCTACGCGAAGTTGCATTGTTAGAAGGGCAAGAACGTGTGGACCTGTGTCTGGAGGAGCGGCGCCGCGCCAGTCAGCTCTGGGGACACATACTGGAAGTGTTTGCGGGGCAGCTGGCGCACTTCATGGCGTGCGAGCAGGCGAGGGCGGCTGCGGCCGTGGACGCCACTCCCCATGCGGATGCCGAAGGAGATGCTGCCGCTAGCCAAGAGGATGACAACAGTAACGATACAGAGGATGCAGGCGTGGCGCCATCTTCGCGGGCTTCCTCCCCTCCACCCGCGACCCCGGCTAACGATCCTCATGCGGCGAACACGTTGCAGTTGGAGGAGATGCTGCGCGACATGTTACTGAAGGAGAACCAGGAAAAGCATGTTCTTCTGCTTGCGCTCCAGTTACTGCGAGGCCGCCTTGCCGAGCGCGCGAACGGTAAGTTTGACACACCGCCATTGTCTACCAACGTCACCGAGGGCAATCAACATGATGGCAGCGGCCACCGCTCCTCCTTGCGGCGGAGCCCACTGCAACGAGACATCCAGAACCGCGGGACCCGTTATTATGGGTCCCACTCACACGATGCCGTCACTGCCTGTGAAGACGAGCCAAGGACTGGGGTTGGGCTAGCGCCCAGCTCCCTGCCCTCGCGTGCAAGTTCTTTCGGGCAGCGGCCAACCCAGTCGGCATCTGTGTCATGTGCCTCATCTCCCCATGTGGACGTTGTCGTTGATGGTGCCATAGACATTGAAGCTGGTTTGAAACGCCATGAGGAGGCCTCGGCGCCCTCGCCGGAGCATCGAACAACGCATTTTGGGGTTGCCACCGGAAATGTCAGTGAAGCTGTGCCGGCCCAAATGAGAAGTCCGATGTGCAATATGCTTCCCGTTTCACCGTTGCCGTTTTCGCAGTCTGACGCCTCTGCAGAGAATGTTTCCACGCTCCGCTTGGGAGGCGTGAGTCGTATGAACACGAAGCTAGGGAAGGAAGCCGTACATGCAAAGGGGAATTGTTCGACCGAATCTCCAGTGAAGCCGGCGACGATGCGGCGTGGCCTCCACGCCACACGCCTTTACCGCGGAAACGACTGGTCGGACCTTGGTGCCCAGGAGTAACCCTATACCGTGAGGCTATTAGTTGCAATATATCTATACTTCCACGCGTCAAGGAGGGGAGGAGAGGGGGTTGATGTCAATTGATGAACGCGCAAAACTGGTTTTATTTGAAGCTATGGAGTTTGTATATATACGTTTTTTTTACTCCTTGGAATGACCTGGATTCCCTTCCCGCACGTGTGTGATGGTGTTGTTTTTTTTTTGTTTGTTGTTGTTCTTCTTGTGTGTGTGTGTTGCTGCTTTCAGTTTCTCCTTTTTGGTTACCGCCGTTCTTTGCTCTTGGTGCTTCTGTGTGTGCTTCTGTGTGTGTCGGCCGCCTTCCATTTCTTTTTTTTTAATTCATTTATTTTTTGTTTATTATTTTTTTCCCTCCCCCTTTTCACCCCCCAACTTTTTACGTCCGCAGCGAGCACGACTCCAAAACTAGTGGCAGAGACACATTCCACACGGTCTCTTCGTCGTTTTTTTTTCCTCATTTCTGGGGGCGCTCTGGAGAAAGGGAGGGCAGCAACCTTGAACGAGAAGAGGAAGAAGCAAAAAAAAGAAAAAAGATCAAATCGATCAAAAAACCGGTCTTTTGGGAGGAGGGAAGACAAAACGAACGCGGGGCATGTTGCTGTACTTCGTCAACGGTGTTGTGAGTCAGGGGGTCGTCAGCGCGGAGCTCGTCGTGGCGCACCCGCTGCTGCCCGTTGTGGCGTCTGCGTGGACGGAGCCGTCGCACCTGCTGGTGACGGACGCCGAAGGGGAGTTCATAGCCGACGGCGGGGCGCAGTTGGCGCTGAAGGCCGCAGGCAAGATCACCTCCATGGCGTGGCACCCCACCCAACCGGCCCTGGCGATTGGGTGGTCCTCTGGGGGACTCATGATGTGGTCCCTGCCGTCGGCGACAAAAGCGGCCGGCGCCGCCAGCGCCCCGCCACAGGCACCGGTGGAAGCTGAGAAGGCACCGCAGCAGCATGACGAAGGCTCGGTGGTAACGTGCGTGTGGTCCGGTGGTGGCAGCTACCTCCTCACCGCGTCGTCCAAGATGCGTGTGGTGGCCTGGATGGTGGAACACACTGCCGTGAAAGCGGAGAATGACAAGGATGACGCCGTCAGAACAGTGCAATTCAAACTTGCACCGATGTGGTCTGTGCCAACAGAGGTAGCCATCGTCCAGGCACTGCATGCCACCTCTTCTGCTGTACACTCCCGGCAGGATGCGCCGCAACGACAGCAGCAAGACAACAACAACACGGATGCCCTAGATGATTTTGCTCTCCCGCGTAGGCTGTCATATTCTCGTGGCATAGATGATGGGAATGACGATTGTTCTTTTTTTCTCGCCAGTGCCAGTGACCGACGCATTTTTGCGCTAACAGAGGAGCAAAAGCTGTTCCCACTGCTTTCACTTGAAGAAGCGCCGATGACGATGCTCTACGACCCAGACGAGCGGCAACTTGTTGCATTTAGCGTTGCCAATGTAATTAATGTGTACCACGTCTCAGAAGACTTTACAGCAAAGTTGCTCCTTCGACGCAAACTGTCAACTCCAAGTGTTAACTTGCTGGGAGAGCGATTTACGCTGACCATGCGGTGGGCCTCTCCCAGCGTCCTTGCGTTTGGGTGCGGAGACAATCGTGTGCGGTTTTTTGACATCCGTGGCGACCGCGTGTACGTTGTACCGCATCCGGCGCCTGCGGCTGCCCACGTCACGCACATCGATACTCTTGAGAAGAAGGGCTTGCTAGCCATGGCAACTGCGGAAGGACCGCTCGCCGTATTCCAACGAAGTGTCGCTTCGCGCCATAAGCGAGGTGCTTCCACCACAGCAGGAGTCAAAACAGGTGCTGCAGCGATGGACACTCATCACGTGAATGTTGGTTCTCTTCTGGACGAGAATGATCCAGCAGACGAGTGGGAGTTGTTAACCGTTGTCGACGTGGGTGGACGCGTGGATCGGTTAAGCTTTACCACCGCGGGCCACATTGTGGTGGCTCTCGCAAAGGGTAAGATGCAGGTTCTTCGCGAGACGGTGCGCAAGCGTGCGTGGGACGGGGTCGTGGCCGCCACACAGATTTCAATGGAAATGATTGTTGTGGAGAGTGTCACTGGCTGCCAGTGTTTGTTGAAGAGCAACAGTAAGATACGCGGCATGGCGGCAGCCTTTCCCACCATTGGACTTTGGAATGGCCAACAAATTGACCTCTACACGGTTAACGAGTCCACCTCGACGGCGTCCTTGACAAACTTTGTGTCAACGACAAGTCCCGCCTTTGCGGTTCACCCGGAGGGACTGTTTTACGTGAAGGATGCCAACCGTGTCTTATTCGCCAACTTCCAACTTGTAACACTTGGGCAAATCGCCTTTACCGAATCGGAGGGAACACCGACAGTGATTGATGTGATGGGTGACGTTGTCGTGGCGATCTCCTCGACAAATGCAATGCGCCTCGCACGCGTGGTTGGGCACGAAGTGCGACAACTGGGTCCGCCACGTCGACTGACGCTTCCAGACCCCGGCATCGTCGTGACCGACGCAAAGGTGAATGCGCAGGGACGCCGTGTGGCACTCATGACACGTCGCATTGCGGATGATCTGCCGGACAGTCGCATTTGGGTCTACGACTGCGACAAGGACCTGGTAAATTTTTATGACTTCTCTGTGCGGGGTGAGATTCCCGACGCGGTGTACTGGAACACGCCGGAGCCGAACAGCAATACGATTGGAGAGCTTGGCTACCTCCTCTTGGCCTGTGAGACCCATCAAGTGAAAAACAGCCACGCTACACAGCCACCCGATGGGGCTGGGGGACTTGGCGAACACGGTGCGGAGGGCGCTTCGTCAAAGCGGCAAACCCCACGACGTGAGGCCTCAAACGCGACCACAAATTTTGATGAAGGGGCGCCGACTATGGAGTCGATGCCGGATCTCGAGAACTTGGCCGAGAAGCAGCAGCAGCTGGAGGAAGAGAGCTATGCGGGCGGCCTTAGCGGGGTCAACCCTCTCGCGAATCGCACCCATTCCGTTGTCACGCTCTTTTCTACCAATAAGGGGCTTGTTGTGCACAACGCCGTCCTCCTCAAGCGCTACCACATTTGCCTAGTTGGTCTCACTATTCCGGATTTTTTGCTGGCCTCGGTGCGCATAAACGGTAACCCAAGTAATCCCGAGGACTACATGATTGAGCAGAAACGACTGCGAGATTTTGAGGGGCTCAAGACGGAGAAAGACGTAGCGGTGCTGGAGGCACTCATGAAGTTCAGCTACTACTCTACCATTGGCAACATGGATGAGGCCTATCGCTGCGTCAAGACCATAAAAAGTCCTACGGTGTGGCAAAGTCTCGCGCGGATGTGCATCTTCTCCGGTCGCCTGGACGTTGCGGAGGTTTGTCTTGCGCAAATGCAGGATGGGGTTGCTGCCGCTGCTCTGCGAGAGGCCCGCAGAAGGTACCCAGAGGAGAAGGACGTGCACCTCGCGACGCTTGCCTGTGGCCTTGGACTAGTGAAGGAGTCTGAGGGGCTGCTGCGCAAAGCTAAGCGATTTGACCTCATCACGGACCTACTGCTGGCGTGCGGCAAGTTTGAGCAGGCCCAGCGACATGCGAAGCACTATGATCGGATCCACATTTACCCAGTCTCATATAAGTACGCCCAGTTCATGGAATCCTTCTCTAACTTTGAGGCCTCCGTCATGTGGTACCGCAATGCTGGGTGCCTTTCAACCGATGTTGCCCGTGTTTTTTTTCAAAGCAACCGCCTGACGGAGCTGCGTGACCTCATTATTCCACCGCCGAGCAAGCTGAAGAGTGCTAATGATTTCACGACGGGCAATTCGGAGAACGCGGCAACTGAGACTCAAGGTGCCGCTAATGGGAAGGGCAAAAGTGAGCGCTCGGCGGCCGCAATGCCTCTGGAGAATGAAGGCGAAACAGGCGGAAGCTCTCCAAAGGATGGGGCTGAGGAAAATGGACCCTCTCCTTTTCAGCATCTATTCGCGTACAACAATGAGTTGCTGGTGTGGTGGGCTCAGCAGAGTGAACGCAGACGACAGTTTTCGGAGGCAATTAAATTTTACATGTTAGCCGAAGATGCTTTTAATAGTGTGCGGCTGCTCTGTGCAGAAAGTCCCCCGCGTCTAGAGGAGGCGGTTGAGCTTGTGGATAAGGAGATTGAAAAGGCTCGCGCGCGAGCCAACAGCGCATCGGGGCTAGCCATGGCAGCGGGAGAAACAACCGTGGCGGACGTGGAATCTGTGGGGGCAGCCTTCTTCATTGGTCTTCATTATGAGCGTTCCAATGACGCGTCCATGGCGCTACAGTACTTTAAGCACGCTGCAGCGTGGCGGGCCGCTTCAAGGGTGGCAAAGGCGCACCAGCGCCATGGTGATTTGTATGCCTTGTCAATTGCAAGCGAGGATGCACAGCTGATGCTTGACAACGCAATCTTTTTGGAGCAAAACAGCGTCTACGACAAGGCTGTAGAGTTGTATCACCGAATTGGAGATGTGCAAAAGGCGATTGAGGTCTGCATTAAGGGTGGGCTTTATGACACAATGCACCGCATCAGCTCCACGTTGGATGCGCAAAGCGACCCAGAGGTCTTTCTGCAGATGGCAGAACATTTTATTGCGAATGGGCACTATGACAAGGCAGCAGAAATGTACATATTTGCCAAGGCCTTTCCTCGCGCACTTGAACTTTGCACTGCGCACGGGGTTGTCCTCACGGATGAAATGGCGGAGTCGATTTCCTCTGATGCCAACTGTCGCAATCTGTCGGAGGAGGAGCGCACGGCGCTGCTCCGGCAGATCGCCGGCATCGCCAAGGACCAGGGTAACTGGAACCTTGCCTGCAAGAAGTATACGCAGATCGGTGAAAGGTTGAAGGCAATGAAGATGTTAATGCGCGGCGGTGATGTGAACAAGGTCATTTTCTTTGCAAGCCACTCACGCAACGCGGAAATTTACACGCTCGCGGGTAACTTTTTGCAATCGCAAAACTGGCCCACCGACCCGAATATCTACAAACACATTGTCCTTTTCTACACAAAGGCAAAGGCCTTTGGTAATCTCATCTCGTTCACGGATGCTTTTGCGCAACTCCAGATCGACGAAAACCGCAACTACTACGAGGCGTGGCGGGCGCTTGATGAATGCGTGCACTTTTTGGAGCGCAACCGAGACGCCGTCTACGGTGGCGGTACCGTCATGGCGAAGGAGGAGAGCCTCCGCGCGCGCCGCGACGCCGTGGAGCAGGTGGTGCGGGCGATAAAGCTCCTCTCCGACAGTGCATCCAACGAGGAGAAGGCGAAGGAGCTCATCGCCGTTTGCTCCGACCTCATCAAACGCAGCCGGCCGAGCCACCAGGACAGCCCCACTTTGTCGGCGGCTATCCGTATTGGAGACGTCTTTGCGCTTCTCGTGCGATACTATTATGAAAATGCGCGATCGGCGAAGGATGCGATGCGGGTAATAGACAGTATGGTGAAGCATTCCGTGGAGCCGCGCTTCTTCGTGGAGCGGGACTTGTTAGAGTCTGTGTGTAGCGCCAATGGTCGAAGTGTCGCCGAGTTTGTCGCCGAGGACACCGGGCAAGTGTTTGCCAAGCGCCAGGGCGGAAGCTATGGGGGCACGGAGGAGGAGGTAGCGTGAGTGTATAGAGACTACCAGATAATGCTTCTCTGCCAGAGAGCGAGAGAGGGAGGGAGAAAGAATAAAAGAAAAACCAAAAGGGGGGATGCTGATGTGCAATGCAAACAAAAAATAGAAAAGCAAAAGAAACTGGAAACGTGAGGGCCATTTTGTATTTAGAGCTGTGTGCCCGCACCTTCTCTGGGGAAGAGGAAGTAGCAGGGGAGGAGCAGCCGCCTCTTGCCTCCTTGTTGCTTCCCTTGTTTGTTTATGCTTTCTGTTGGCTTTCTTCCCCGGTGACAACCGCGTCATCGCAGCACCGTGTATTTGTTTTGCTTTAGAGTGGAGAAAGGCAAAGCGAGGAACATGGACGGTGTGGTGTATTTTTCTTTCTTTTTTTATTCGTCTTTCTTTACAGGCGCTGGTGTGTTTGGTCTCTCACGCCTTTTTTTGTTTGTTTTTGTTTTATTTTGTTTTGCTTCTTTTCCCACTTGTCTCTGCTGCAGCCATTGGAGTGATGGAATTGAGGTCTGTCCTTCTGCTCCCTGTTTTTTTATCGGAGTGGTCATTGTTGTTGTTGTTGTTTTTTCCATCCTTTGTTCTTATTTTGCAGCGTCTGTTGAAGGGGAAAAAAGGAAGAAGGAGGAGGCGCCAGAAGGAGAGTGGGACGGAGAGAGCGGGAGGGTCGCGGCAAGAGTGATGAGCGGGGCCGGCAAGGGGGAGCAGCACGGGGCGACTTCGCCCTTGCGCAAGCTTCAGCGGTCGTTATATTCCACCGCCGCCCATGCGGAGGGCAACGCCGATCCACAGCAGCAACAGCAGCAGCAGCAGCAGCAGCAGCAGCAGAAGTATGAGGACCACACTGAGGCGGCGCGTACGCGGTGGGAGGCAGCTGCAGCGGGTGCGAAACGGCCGCTGAGGCGCTATAAGAACGATGTATCGTGGCGGCATCTGCCGCAGGTACACACGCAACGACCACCACCACAAGACTGCCAGGATGGGCAGCAGCCTTGGGGGGTAGTGCCCCCGTTTGTGCCGTCGCTGCAGGTGCAAAACATGGAGTTTCCGGCTTCTTCTTTGTTTTCTGACACTCAACGCAACTCGCTGTTGGACACCAAGACGTCCTCACTTGAGCATTGCCTGTCGCTGAGTGACACAGTCAAAGGCAAATTTGGCAAGTGTGCTTCAGTGGGAGGTATTGGGTCGCGCGATGCGACGGCGTGCCCTCCGCCAATAGTAACGAGTGAAGATTTTCTGTTTAGACAGTCTGGTCGGCCTAGACCAAGTCCTGCGTCCCGTGTCGTGCATCCGCAGGGGTTTCGCATACTTAAGAACCGCAGTGCGGTGGAACGGTCACTGCGCAGCTACTTTCGCTTACCCCCCGCGCCGAGTTCGCGCCTTGTCAAGGACCGTTTGTGGACACAGCGGCAACTGATGGCTGTTGAAATGACCGAAGATGAGGAGGAAGCTCGTTTTTTTGCGAATGCCGTGGACGTTCCTCTCCGGCAATCCCACATATTGCTAGATGGTTATCTGCTTCTTTGCGCCGCTGGGCAACCCGAGCCGGAAGCGGTGGAGGCGGTGACGCTTCAAAGTTTTCACATCGTCGGTGTCATGGAGGATGACTTGACCCATTTTCAGAACCTCCGGTTTCTTGATCTGAGCGAGAATAAACTGCTGCTGGAGCACCTCCTTTCTCTGACTGGCCTTGAGGTGCTGCACCTCCCGTATAACAAGATCGCCTCTTTGGCAGGCATTGCACGCGTGGTCTTGGAGCAGCAACTGCAGTCGACAAGTAGCAGCAGTGCCTTCGTTAACCGTGCTGGGACCCGTGGAAGCGGAGTTGGCGTGGTGGACAGTGCGATGCACGACAGTAAGTCCATTCGGAATGCCGCAGCCTACTATGCCCAGGAAAAGACACCGACGGCGGTTCGTACCGACGGTGGCTTACGCTGGCGCACGCCAGTAGCTACCAACGCGAATGGTGGTGGTGCGACGGTGGATGCAACTGGGACCGCGGGGTATTACTCGCCACATCAAAAGATTGTGGGACGCCCCAACCAAAACTCAGAGTGCAGTTTGCATGATGTTCTCTTGCCAAACCTGCATGCCCTGAATCTCTCCTTTAACCAGATTCCCCCAGCTGAAATTTTGCACCTGTCATACTTTCCTTTTCTTGAAAAACTTGACTTGAGTGGTAACAACCTACGCGTCTTGCCAGAGGACCTTGCGGATCTCACAAGCGTGACACATTTCGCACTTGAGCGAAATCACTTTCGCGACGGCAATGTCATCTTTGCGGCACTCTCCACCATGCCGGCCCTCATTGAAGTCAACCTCAATCATAACGAACTACGCCACGTCCCCCCGCTCTCCGTGAAAAATGGACGTGGACTTTGTTTTCCCTCGATTGAGGTGATTGGTTTGGGGCACAACCGCTTTGCAGCTGCGCGGGATGTGGCGGCGCTGACTGAGCTTGTGCGGACGCTGCAGCGCGTGATGCTTGCGGGAAACCCGATTGCGCGTAAGAGTAAAGAGCGCGGCGCGGCGCAGTCAATTTTTGCGCAGGCCGTGATGAACCTCTACTGGGAGCAAGCCGCCGTGCGTCACCCTGACACCGGTGAAAGAAGCTCCTCCAACCACTTTGGAACCGATGTGCCACTTGGCGATACCTCACGGCTCCAGACGCCGCATCAAGACAAAAGTGCGGTGGAGGATGAGAGGGATGTGACGCATAGTGAATACCATCAGTGGGGCAGTCTTGTTGAGGCATGGCGGCAGTCAAAGGAGGGGTCGGAATCGAAAAGTTCTTCACAGTCCCTCACCAAACTTTATGAGGGTGAGGACGAGGACGACTACCCCGATCACCAGCATTCCTACACGATGGATACCCCAGACGCTTCCGCACTGCCAGAGGGTGATAGCACGATCAACAATCTCTTTTGGTACGGCGACGCGGAATCGCTGCCTTTGCAGGGGACAACGACGAAGGGGGTTGATCGCACTCTGCCAGACCTACCAACACCCTCACTCTTGCGGTTTGTGGAGCTCATCTTTGACGACACCGTGATAAAGAAACAAAAACCGGGCTACTTCTATTCCAAGTGGCGTCAACTCGCATTGGAGGGTGAAACGCAACGGCACATGCTGGCGGGCGTGGGACGGTCGTCGTGTTTGGTGCATCCCAAGACGGGCCTCGTTACTGTGCCGAACTACACCGAGTTTATGGACATCTACCGCCTCCTGGAGGACCCGCCCTTGTCGCGCTGTGGGTTTAGACGGCGCACGTACGCCACACCGCGCGAAAAGAGGCGGAGGCGAAGGGAGAAAATTGCGGTTCCTCACCCTACGGCTGATGTCGCACAGGAGGAGGAAGCGGAGGCGAAGGCCAAGGAAGAGAGAGAGGAGGCTGAGGCTGCCACCCCAGTGGATCAGCAGAACACTGAGACGGACGAGGAATATGACATGGAGGAGTCCGCCTCGGAGGGAAGTGAGTCCACTCGGAACGTCGTGTTTATGACGGGCGTGGCCCTGGAAGAGCAGCGTGCGTCGTGTCCAAAGAGACGTGGAAAGGCGAAGCCGCGAAAGGTGCTGGCGCAGGAAACTCCGATTGAAGACTCTCCTGCGGGCGTCAACGAGGGAGCGGCGCCCCACCCCGACACCGCGGAGGATGCGCGGGCGACAGACGTGAACGAGGCGAGGGAGCAAGAAATGCGCAGGCAGACGCAGCCGCGCAGCGAGCGTTCGCCTAGGGCTAGAAAGGAACCGCAGCCCAAGTCAGGGGTGGCGGAGCCGCCGAGTACGAACGTTCGCATTCTTATGAATGAACTTCGTCGCATGCTGCGTCGTCCACTTCCATCGCTGCCGACTGTTTCTACGAAGCACAGCACCGGTAGGTTCTAAAGCGGAACCGTGACGAGGAGGAAAACAAAAAGAAAAAATGCATTCTTATCTTTCTGAACTATGTTTCTAGGTGTGTTCTGCTTGCCCTTCTGGGTCTGTGTGTCGTCACTTGAGGGCCTTTGTGATGGGTGATGATGTATGGTGTCTGTATCTTCCTGAAATTTGGCACTTGGCTTTTATCTGCCTCTATTCTGTGATGTAAAGTAGCCTGCTCTCTTTTTCCCCCGATTTAGTGTTTGTTTGTTTGTTTTTTATCTTCTTGAGCCGCTCAGTTGTGGTTGAGCAACGGGAAAAAAGTAAGGCCGCGATGGATGCTGTGCGCTTCTGAGCTTCTGCCTTTTTTCTCCCCTTTTTTTCCCCCCTCCTCCTCGTAGTCGCGCAATGCGTGACATGGGGGGCGTGTGGTTTGCGAACATCATGTCCTTCTTTTCTGGTCTCTTCCTCTTCCTCCGCCCACGGCAAACAAAAGGCACTGGAAGCCGTTGCAGTGTAGACCTGTTGACGCTCATGCAGAGGCGACGAGTACGCTCAGTCTCGACGCGTTCAGGCGCACGGTGCGAAAACCACCGCGGAGGCGCCGTCAGCTCGCGAGAAACAGTGAAGAAGCGGCGGTCCTCGAAGGTGCCCTTGTTAGTTGAACGATCAGCGAACAGAAATGAGCTCTCGCAGCATGATAGTGAAACTCCCGCGTGTGAAAGAAGATCACAACTGGTGTTGCGGGGTGATTGTACTCAGCGGCCATCCTCTGCTTCTTTTTCCTCGCGCCAAGTGAACATGTTACCTGCGTTTTGCGTGCCGCACTATCGATGGTCGCCGCTGCACACATCTTGCGCTCACGCGGTAGCGGAGGAGCACGAGGCTGTTATTCAGTGGTATGAACAGAATATACGACCAGGTGATGTAAATTTAGACGACGAAGTTGGAACTGCGTGGCTTTCAACGGCAAGGTCACGGTGCGACGCGCTGTGCACGTTTGCACAGGAGCATCGCACCCTGTATGGCTCTCTAGACGCGGACAAACTTCAAGAGATGGAGGCGTGTTTGTTTCGCCTATTGCTCTGTGTAAAGGGGGCCGAAGAGCATTGGAGTTTGCTCTCAACCAGGTCGTCTGTGGGCGCGTCACGGAAGACAACTAGAACTGCGTGTCAGCAGACTGTACCGCGTGAGAAGCACATTAGCTTTGCGAAACCTTTGTTTCACTTTTTTTCTTCCGTGTCATTGCCTGAGAATGACGAGCCATCGGGAGGTAGCTTGGCCGGTTTCGCATCCTTGGCCTTGGCAGAGGAGGACAGTGCAGCTGAGGACGAAGACGTTGCTGATGCCCCCTACAAAGGCCGGAGCAGTGGCGTCTACTACGGAGACATTTTTTCTGCGCTAGAAGTCGTTGAGGCAATTCCTGCTGAGCAACCTATTCTTGAAGAGACAAACGCGCTTTCACGGCCACAGCCGCAGCAAAGATTGAGTGGCCCAATTGCTACGGAGTGCACAGTCGAAAATGTGCTGCATCCGGTTTTCCATCCCTACCGGCTCTTCCTTACGATTTTCGGGCTCGGGTCGGGGGTATGGCGACGGAGAAGAATACCGCCTTGGAAGAAAATGTGGTTGTATATTTTGGTTACCAGCGCCTGTTGCGTGCTTTCCTTGCTGGTGGTTTGCCGGCGTTGGTAGTTGCCGCGGACGACACCGATTCACTGGTTGGCCACCTTGAAGTGTAGATGGAGCGAGGCGGAGGTGGGAGTGACGGCTCTACGTTAGTTTATGCCTTAGATGAGACTCCTTCTCCCTTCTTTCCTTCACTCTCCCTAATGGATTATTGATTTATTATTTTTTTAAATTTTTTATGAGGGTCCTCCTCCCTCGTGGGGCTTGTGTCTACTCTTTGCAGGAAGTTTGGGCCGATGGGGTCGGCCAGCGGCCAGCACCCGACGCTTCCCGCCTTTTTGCCCCGTACAGCCTATTTGTTGTGGCCCGCAGAGGCATGGGACCCAAGCAATCGAGTGGCGACGCGCAGTGGTGGCACTGCGAGCACTGCTCCACATTGGATGAAAACGGGCTTGTGTGCGCGGGCCCCGCTTGAGCGAATTTTCCTCTTTCACTTCCCCTCCCCATCCTTCTTTTTTTTTTGTGTGTGTGTGTTTTTGTTTTTTTGCTCTTGACCGGACACTCCTGTCAGCTGTCGTTCTGTTTTTGCCAGCGGCTACACGATGGAGAGCGGCGCGAGGGAAAAGGTGACGGACGCGGACTCGATTCGCCGGCACGAGGGGGAGGAGGGGCAGCCGCGCGGCAAACATCATCGCCGCTACTCAGAAGAGTCATCGGCATCGCGCTCTGCTCCTGTTCCTGTTCCTGCCTCTGCTGCAACTTCGGCTGTGGCGCCAGTGATGTCGAGAGCCGTGGCGTCGAAGAGGATAGACGTCATTGTGCGGGGCGTGCTGGAGAGTGCGGTGTGCCACGAGGCTGACACACTTTTTGCTCGTACGTATTGGGTGCACGGCACCGACTGGGCACCGCTGGCGAACGTGACTGCCGCCGAGGAGGTTGTCACCGCCTCGCCGCTTGTGGCCCCGCTGGAGCGCCAGACGAATAGCGAGGTGATCACGCAGCTCTCCTGGAGCTCCAACGACCCGTTTGCGCGATTCACGTGGGCGACCCCATTTGAGTGTGCCTTGCGTGGCACCAACCCGCATGGGTGGCCACAACTTGTAGTAACACTGCACACGGTGCCAAACGTTGTGCCAACGACCAGGCCAGCGCGCTCAGGAGGCGCAAGTGGTAGCGGGGAGAAGTGCCTCTCATATAGTCGTTGTTTTATTCCGTTGCGCAGCGGGACGTACCGCAAGCAGTTGCCCCTGCTGCAGTTGATGCCCAACACACGAAAACTGGCGTGGATTGGGTGGTGGACAGGTGAGCGCTTAGAGCTGCGGGATCCGGCGTTTCTCTGCAGCGGAGAGGATCGGCGTGTGCTGTGTGCCAAGCCGCTCCCCGGACACATCTCACTGTCGCTCTCCGTCGTAGTTAACGGATTCACAGAGTGCGGCATTGAGCCGTGAGAGGGATGGTTTGCAGCAAGGTCGCCAAGGCGCATAGAGTAGATGGCTGACAATACGGTGTGCTGCGGACTTTGGAATTCCAAGGAGGTGTGCCGTTGTAAAGCCCCACCGCCAACCAAGGCGGTGGGGCGGCGAAAAAAAAAGTAGCGTGAAATCTGCGTCCGCCAGCGGAGGTGTGTCTGCGCCTGTGTGGAGTTTGGTGTCTCGCTGAATGACAGTAAACTGCAACCAGCGTCAACGACGCCGCACGAAGAGGGTGTCGATGACACTGACGTGGAAAAGTAACAAAATGGGGCGAACGCAGAGCTGCAACGGCACGTCTGTCTCTCCACTCTCTTTTTCTCTCACACACACACGCACTCTCTCTCTCTCTCTCTTTTTTTTCTTTTTTTTTTGTATGTTCCGTGTCTCTTCCATGCGCGCAGGGAATTCAGGTGTAGAGGAGTAGAAGAGCGAGTGGGGGAGGGGGGAGTTGGTTGGCGCGGCCTCCTGCCTATATTCCTTCCGGTGGACACGCGTGCCGTTGCAAGACAGCGAATACCACGGGGGGTGGGGACGGGAGCGGGCACGCCAGCCAACGAACACGTCCCGCCGCCTTCGTGAAGAAATAACGGAAGGGCAAGCAGCGAGAGGAACGCGAAGAAAACTCCCAAAGTGGGGGAAATAATAACGATCTGCATATAGCAAACAGAGAAGTAAGAACGGCAAAAAGAAGAAAAGGGGGGGAAAGAAGAAAAGGAAGGGGGTGGAAAAAAAAAAGGTTGTGTCATATCTGAGCTCTCTTGCGCAGTTGCATAGGACACTGAGCACGATGCGAAAACCGACAAAACTCCGTGAATTTATCGCAAACGGCGAATCCGTCGAGTTGCCGCGGGGTGGCGTGCTCTTCGCAGCAGTGTTGTGGGTATTCCTGGCACTTGCCATCCCCGTCGCCGACGCCGCTGTTGCGTCGCCGCAGTGTGCGTGGATATACAGCGCCACGGAGGGCGAGACTGTCACAAGTGTGCTGCAACGCCAGTGGGATCGTGGGGCGTGCGCCGGCAGATACGTGACGCTGACGGAGGTGGCCCCCGCACTGCCGGGTTTTGCCGTTCCGAACGCCCACCTTCTCGTCGTGCAGTACACACCCGCCATCACCGGCCTGAGTGAGGGAGAGGTGCGCTACGTCTCGCAGCAGGTGCACGTCGTGTGTGACGTGTTCACACAGCTTTGCGAAAGGGCCTCCGTGCACTACGTTGTGCATGGGATACAAAAAGTGGGCCCCGCGAACGACACGACGACGACGACGACGACGACGACGGAAGCGCCTTCCCCAAAGCCGGAGGAAAATACAACAACGACAACGACAACGACAACGACAACAACTGCGGCACCAGCTCCAGTTGTTGTCTCGTGTCCCCCTGGTGGTGTCCTTCCTGCGGTAAGGACGAACGTAACGGTCCCCGCAAGCCTGGAGCCACTTAGTTACGTGGACAAGTGTGCCGCCCCGCGCCGGATTGCCATAAGCAACGTGAGTGAGGCAGCGAATAAATTATTCCACATTGAAAAAGATTCCATTCTCTGGTTTGATCGTAACGGTGAAAACCAAGCGGAGGGTGTCTTCACCGCCAACCTTACCGTCTACTGTAATGAGGTGGCTTCTTGTTTTAATGTTCAGGCGACGTTTGTTGTTGTGAAGCCCCTTCCCACTCCGCCTGAGAATCCACCAAACTGCAGCCGTACTTACGGCTTCCACGTGGGTTTCGCGCAGAAAGCCTCGCTTACGCTTACACCACACAGTGAGGATGCATGCCCAGCCAGCCAAAAGCCCGTCTTCACCCTTGTATCGCCGCCGAAGTATAATGCAGAGGCGTTTCGACTGGATACGGACACAGGCGCGTTTAATTACGCTGCCCCGAATGGGCCACGGGTGACTTCCGACGCCTTTGAGTTTCTCATTAGTTGCGCGGCAAATACTGGTGGCACCAGACACCCACTATGCACGGGGCGTGCCAGTATTCTTGTAACGTCGCCACCGCCGACGCCGCCGCCAACCCCTCCAGCCGAAGAGGTGGAGTGCCCGGGAAACTTTGTGTTTGACTATGAAGTAGACAGTGAAAGCAAAACTGTGCCGGACACTTACAAACTTTTTCTGCAAGCAGGACACGGTGAGAACGTTTCCTTCTGCCCCAGTAATATTTACACCCAAGCAGAGCTGCGAACGAAGGCCAAGACTGGAACGGTGGTTGATTTTAGCAACACAACAGGCATTTTTCAATATGTGCCGTCCAGCAACTCCGTTGACCATTTTGACTTTGCTCTAACGTGTGGTACAGGACGCGTATGTCATGGAACCGCCACAATGCAGCCTCGTGAAAGTCCCGCGCCGTCGCCGGAATATCCCTCGACGGTGTATGATCTTGGAAAGATTGTTTGCAGGGGCACCTGTGACGCTTCTGCGTGGCGCTCCTCGCCACGTTATCCGGGTCTTTTTGATGTCACGGATGGGCCGCAGGGAGGACGCAGCCATGTGACGCCCCGCCACGATGGTAGGTCGCCGGATGATATGGACTTTGAGATTCGTATGGAGGGGAACGCGTTGTTGCTGCGGGCGTACACGATTATTGGTAATATGGCCGCCCGGTTTGTGACATTCACGCCCGTGGGAAGCCCGAAGAGCGCATTCTTGACATCGGCCTACGTGCCCAAAGGTGCACATTCCTCCTTCAATGCAACGTGCCTTGACCAGCAGGCAAAAACCGGACTCGCCTCGGCCATCTGGACCTGGGACGAGGCTTCGGAGGCGGAGGGAGGGGCCGCTCTGCGTGGGCGGCTGAATACAGTAACTGACGCGTACAGGAGCGGCGAGAATTACTTCCAAAAGTTTGGTGGAAAGCACCGAGACTGTGACGTGTTCCGTCGAGATCCGTGCAAGTATGCCCCGATGCTCACGCCTGCTTCGACTACGGATGCCTCTATAGCCAGCGATGCGAACCCTGAGCATGTCATTGACTGGACGCTGTACGTGAATGATTGTGATGCCACATGGGTGGGAAATGTTTCACTTAACCACCTTCGCACGCTACGTGGCAGTGCCAGCAACGAACTCCTTTTTAAGGCAGTGAATAAAAGTTTGTTGGTGGGCACTATTTACACGCAGGTGGTTAAACCCGCGAGTTGGGTGCCACCATACAACGGTATTTTGTCCCTGCAACGAGCGTACACGGTACGAATTTCGATAGACGACTCTGTTGGCGCTGACGTGGAGGTGTCTCAGGTGAAGCCTTCACCGACGGTGCAAACCGACGCGGCAACGGAGACGAATAATGTGAAGGAGGTTCCACGGATACAGTCAAAACTTTCATCGGTGGCGGAGTTTTCAAAGAGCGAGAACAGTTTATTCCAGGACTCCTTCAACGTCTCTGTTGATGTGCGATTTGCTGCTGCAAAAGACCCCAAGACGGGAGAGCGTTTGTACGGCTACGCCGTTCTGATATATCCATACCAATTAAATTACTCCCATATTAAGTACAGTGTGCCCATGCTGGTCCACCTCAACGCCACTCAGCTGCGTGTGACGGAGGTTCAACTGCTGAATGCCTCATGGACGACCCCAAATCTACAAGATTGCCCCCATTGCACCGGAAAAGCCGTAACATGTGCTGGCACTGGGTCTGGCCTTAACCTTGATTGTGATCCCGTCATCCGCTTTGAGCCGGCAGGAGATGTCTCTCTCTTCCGACAGTGTGAGTTAGCCAGTGAACGCAAAGGTCAATTTCTCAATATTTCCCTGATTGCACGTGTGGTTGGAAGTAGGACGGCACTCTCCGCTACTGGGCATCCTGAAGGTTCCTTCGCATTGCGTTTACGGTTTGACAACTTTGAGACTATCGTCGTCAATGTTAAACAGCTTGCATATATTACAAGCATTAACACCATCACACACCGTGCGCTGTGTCGTTCCTCGGCCTACTGGCCTGTCCCGGATGTTCTTGGTGGTTCCGTCCCTGCTAATCCGTTCAACAGCACTCAGTTGCTGCATGACATCCTTAGCCAACCGTTGGATGAAAAGGATAAGGCTAAAAAGAAGCCGTATTACGGCGCTCCAAAATCCTTACACAGTGACGCTTTTTGTGAGGCAAATGCTAACCCACATCGGCCGGCGCATATCTTTTTGAATAGTACAACGACGACGGTAAACGACGACAGTGCTGATGCTGCGGGCAAACCAGGGTCATCGACTGTACAGCTGTCACTTTGCACGGTCCCAGATGAACAACTGTACGGTGTAACAGACTGGGTATATGTGACTTTGCATGATAGGCTGAAGCCTCTAAACTCGTCAACGCTTGCAAAGATGTCACTGGAATATCTCATTCTTTCCGTAAATGCGAAAGATGTCTTGGGTGTGTTCCAAACCAACAGCATCGACAGCGGCGTCGGGCAATCAAAGTTGCACTTTGTACTTGATGGGGCATCTTTGCCGGATAAAATGAGCGGTGGGGAATTGGGCGACGAGGCGGAACGTCAGCAGTGGATGGGTGAGACGCCAATGGGGAATTCCACGGTGTATTTGCGCTGGGAGAAGTACGCTGCCTACCTACACTACCGACGCATTTACCTCCGTTCGTGCCCCTCAGACAAGCAAACAGGGGAATGCGTGGAAGAGCCGTTTCACTTCGCATTTGTGCCAGGGACACTTTTGTATCGTGGCAGTCGCGTTCGCGTCGCGTTTCACCTGCACGCAGGCGTACGTTACACCTCCAGCGATGCCGTTGGGGACTCGTGGGTGGAGGAGCACATTGCCAGGATTCCTGTCTCTGCGCAAATTTCATCAGAACTGCGGTTTGACCGTGACGTTTACACCCCACGCGTGGTTCCGCGGCATGCTGGCGGACTAAGCAAAAAGTCGGCCAGAGTGCTCGTAGTGGTTTTCGTCTTGGCCATCGTGGCTGTGCTGGCGGCTGCCATCTTCATCGAAATGCACTACAAACGTGTTTTGCGTGTCGCGAAGCGTCGTCTGCGGCAGACTCCCGCCTGCAACGGAAATGACGCTGCCGACAGAAGGACGTCGGATCAGGTCCTTTCACCTCTGCGGGATCAAAACGGGGATTCGTGCCCCAATAGCCTTGGGCTGGGCGCCGCGGCGTTTGGTGGGAGGCCGGCTAAGCAGCTGAAGCCCACGGAGTCGTCGGCATCGGCCGGTATCCGGACAAAGTACGGGGTGGTGCAGTTGGAACCAGCCCGCATACAGGTATCGGAGGATGAGTTTGGTGGCTGAATTTCTCCGACGCGTTTTCCCCCTTTGCCGCGTGTGGAGCAGACGCTTCTGGTGCAACGACGTCGGAAAGAGGCATGAACGAACTGGAAGAAAATAGAGCCATATCCAGCAAATAAGCAAACATGACGATACTTCTGCAGAGGAGGAAGACTACAAGGAGAGGACGAGGATGAAGGAGGGGAGAAGTGGTTGAACGCGTTGAGACGTGCCGGGATGGGGCTTCACGCTGAAGCCGTTTATTTCTGGACGTCGGCGCTTCTTCTGCGGTTGGTTGGGTTTCGCCGCTCGGCTGTGTGAAGTTGCACCCTTCTTCCTTCCTCTCATTCCACACACGTACGAGAAGAGAGGGATAAAGATGCATATATGTGTATATACATACTTCCCCTTTATCGAACGCTTTCTTTTTTGATTTGTTTTTTTTTGTTCGATGGTTCTCTTTACTCTCTCGTTAGTTGCCTCTCTTCTTTTTGTTTACGATGGTTCCTTGAGACACAGCTTATACTATGCAGAGACATGCATGCATGCATATATATATATATATATATGTATATATGTATTGGCACAAATGATGCTTGTAACACATTGGATGCATGGTGTGTGTTGTTTATTGGGAGGTGCTCCGCGGGCGATAAATAGTAAGATGTGTGTGTATTTGTCTGTGTCAGAGAAAGCGAGAGAGAAGTATGGCCGGCGCATGCATGCACGCATCGCTATCCCGATATACTTACACAATAGAGGAAAGAGCACATAGGCTAAATGCTGAAGGAAACTCTCTCTCTCTCTCTCACGCACACACACATATATATATAAAGAAATCACAGCAAGGGGGGTGGGTGAGGTGGTGAGCGCGGGTGGGCCACTGTGGAGAAGTGGCGTGCCCTATTTATTTATTTTGTTCTCCTCCTTTGCTGGAGTGTCCCTTTTCTCCCCCATCGGTGCCACTTTTGCATTGCGTGTAGTCCATCTTTCTTCTTCTTGTTGTTTCAGCCGGTTGGCATAAATATTCTGCCGCGTCAGCGTCGGTGCCTTCCTCAGTGGGATGATGTGTGTCGTGGCGGTGGTGTCGTCCACAACTAACAACTATTGCCCGCTGCCTTCCCCTCTTTTTTTTTTGTCACACGTTGCCTGTCTTCTTTCTCATGCCACTTCCGTTCCGTATTTGTTTCTCTCACACACCTTAGAGTTTTGTGCTGGCTGGTAGGGTATCTACATACATCTCAACATTCAAGGGAGCAAAGGAGAGCGAGAGAGAAGGTTTGTTGTGTGTGCGCGTGCGTGCGAGGCGCCCCCTTTTCAGCCGTCACCCTTCACTTCGCCTCGGCCGCGTGCGGAATCTCTAGCGGGCGAAGCCCCTTTCCCAGCCGCGTACCGCTGCTCACGGAAACTATACTTTTGCTGCTCCCACCGTGTGGGGCGCCCCACACTCGGCGTGCAACTGGGAAGGGCGGAGAGGAAGCCCTGAGGGCACACGGCGCGTGTTTAGGAGGAGGGGCGGGGGGAGCTGAGAAGGTAGAGAACAAAAGGGAGACTTGAAGCCAAGGGCGTGTGCGTGGATCTACATAGAGGCTGAGGGGAGGGAGAGGGAGAGCCAAAGAAAACGTCACCGAGGCGAAACACACACTTACACGCACACAAAGAAAGACGGAGAGCGAAAGGGAACAATAACAACAACAAGGAGTCACAAGAAGAGTAGAAAGGTATAGTTTTTTTTTTTTTCAAAAAGCAAAACAAAAGTAAAACAAAGAAAAAGTTATTCATATATATATATATATAACTCTGACAGAGCCGTTGCGGGTGGAAAATAAAGATCGAGTCTATTTTAGTTTGAGTTTGCGGGGTGACAGATGGAGCGGTACACGAAAATACGTGTGCTGGGGAAGGGCAGCTTTGGTAGTGCCATTCTCATCAAACGGCGCAGCGACAATGCGCTTCTCGTCATTAAAGAGGTATTTTTGGGCAAAATGAGCAAAAAGGAACGCGAGGAGGCACGCCACGAGTGTTACGTGCTGCAGAAGCTGAGTCACCCAAACATCGTACGCTACGTGGAGCACTTTGAGAACCGCAATAACCTGTACATTGTGATGGAGTACTGCGATGGGGGTGACCTTCACGGCAAACTTAAAATGGGGCCAATGAAGGAAAGTATCATCTTGTATTATTATTCGCAAATTTGTCTTGCGATGGAATATTTACATTCCCGCCACATTCTTCACCGCGACATTAAAACAATGAACGTGTTTCTCATGAAAAACGGTTCTGTCAAACTAGGAGACTTTGGCATCTCAACTGTCTTGCGCAACACGATGGGAATGGCAAACACTGTCTGCGGCACACCGTACTATTTCTCGCCTGAGATATGTCGCAACAAACCGTACAATAACAAGTCAGATGTGTGGGCGCTGGGTGTGCTGCTGTATGAAATGGCCACCGGAAAACACCCCTTTGACGGCAGTAGTATGCAGCAACTGATGCAGCGCATTGTAAGAGGCACCTATGCACCACTGCCGTCACATTTCTCATCGGAGTTCCGCAAAGTGGTAGAGTGGTGCCTGCAGAAGGATCCTTCACGACGGCCCAGTATCAAGCAGACGCTTGCACTTCCTATTGTACGACGCTCGCTCGAGCAGCTAGAAGAAAACCTGATGCTTGCCACTCAGTGCAAGGTGCGGCTGAAAGACATCATAGATTTTGAGGTAGGGGGGGAGCAGAATGGAAACAACAACAACCAGAGCCCTGCGGCGGCGGGACCGGTGAAGCGGGGGAGGGAAGAACAAGGGTGTGCCTCACCGTACGCAAAACCACAAGTGATGTCCCCCGGGAAAGCGGCGGCGATGGCAGTGGCAAATCAGCAACACGTGCTTCAACGGTCACCACAGCGATCTCCGCAATCCCTCTCGCCGGGTGCGGAGGCCGCAGTAGGACTCCTCGCACAACGCCCTGTAGGCAATCATGCGCTTCTCGGCCCAAAGCCGAGTGCGTCGCCTGCGCCTGTGGACCACAACCGGATTCAAAACTACCGAAAGTACTTATTGCAGCACTACCAACGAGATGCAGTTGCGGACAAGGATGTCTCTCCTGCTCCTGTGGTCGGCGGTAGAGGGCCCGGTGCGGCGGCTCCTCCCGAGCTTGCGCCCCAACCCGTGTCACCACCTTCTTCCCCTCGACAGCAACAACTACAAAGGCAGCAACGAAATTTGCCACCGGCCGCCGCGGAGTATCAAAACCAGTATCTCAACGACGCACTTAGGCAAAAAGCTGTGGCACCTGGTGCTGGTGTTGAAGGTTTTCAGGAGAGAATGCGGCGTATTGATGCCATTATGCAGCGGTACGCCCAAAACGTGGACCTCAAATCACGCGAGACAATTCACGCGTACATGAAACGCAAACACGATGAGTACCTGCAGAGGCAGAAGCGGGAGCAAGAACGTGTTCAGCGCCGGGATGAACTTCGGAAGAAACAGCTTGCGAGGGTCATTGAACATCAAAATTACCTCTGCCGAGTTGATTTGCCGCCTCAACAACGACAGCAACAAAAACTGGTTCAGCAAAAGCAACAGGCAATGCAAGTCCCTGTCCCAGCTGCCCCAGCTGCCCCAGCTGCTCCTGCGGCGGGTTCGCCACACTCGCCGCGGAAGCGGCCTCCACAAATGTCACCACCACCACCGTCTTCGCAACAGCAACACGCTGTCTTTGGGCGTGATCCGCGATGTGTGCAGCGGCAGCCGAGAGAAGTGGAACCGCCTGCCCCTTTGCAACGGGCGGATCCTGTTCGAAACAACAATAATGGTTCCAGGAATCGAGAGCCAGAGCCCGTAGTGCGGAGGAAAAGAAAAGTTTTTGCGGCGAATTCACCGCTTTTGCTTTCCCCTTCCAAGCGTTGGCAACATCAGCCACTTGGTCCGGTTCTCCGAGACGACGTGGCGCGACATTCTGGCCTGGCTTCTGCTGCCTCTGCCGCCGCTGCTGTTGGGTCTGCCTGCGACAAAAACAGGGACAAAAACGGCAAAGTGAACATGAAGTTGAGCCCTACAAAGCTGGTTGCTGGAGCGGCAGGTTTGAGTCCCCCAGCAAAGGGTAAGCGGGTCGTAGAAGCCGCTACGCCTCAGCCCCATCCATCGGCAGCAAGAGGACCACCGCCTCCTATGCCGCAGGAGAAGAAACAAAAACCTCAGCCAATGCTGCGTATCATCTCTGCACCCGTTTTTGCTTCGCCGCTGGTGGGGGCTAATGCCGCCCGTGAAGACGCCGGGGAGGAGAACGAGGACAACAAGATCGGGAAAAAGTGTGTTACACCGACGCATTTGCAAGCCCACCCACTTGTACGTCGCAGTAGTGCACCTCTGCGTCCTTCCACTGACGATTCACATGCGCCATCCATGAATCTCTACAGTCCGTCAAAATTATTGGGCGAGAAACAAATGATTCGTCCCTTGGCTGCAGCCGGATTCATGCCACAAGGTGTTATAGCTCCATCGCAGCAGCAGCAGCAGCAGCAGCAGCAGCATCCTCAAGACGTTCTGTCGCGAGCTGCTTCTCCTACATCGGGATTGGTGGTTATGGGGGCAAAGTCGTTCTTTGTCTCCAAAGAGGACTTGGCTGTTGCTGTTGCTGCTGCTGCTGTGGAAGAGCCTCGTCAAGGCGAGCAGCGGCGTCGACAACTTTTGCAACAGGCAGAGATGGAACTGCTGCAGAAAGAGCAACCTGGAAAAGTCGATGAGGCAATTTCACTCCAGGCCCCGAACACAGGGGCAGAATTCCTCAATAACAATAAGAGACGAGGAAATATAAATTGTCAGCCTGTGGCCAATAAGGCACCTTCGTCCTCAGAGATTGCGTGGACGGCGGCCAAAGGCAACCCTGTCAATGGCAAACCACGCAAAAAAGAACGACAGCCCCCACTGTCCCTAGCTCCACTACAAATACGGCTAATGCAGCCAAGTTTCCCGCAGAGCAACTCCCCCACGTCATCCTCCTCGCCGTTCAAGCTCAGTGGGGCATTGCCTCCAACTGGTGCTCGGCCTCTGAGTGGGAAGCAGCCCTTGTCACGAGGTTCTGGCTGCAGTGCGTCATCGTCCCAACTTGGAATTGGGCAAATGCCAGCTGTTCTCGGCGTCAAGATGCCTTCACATGCACGTGAACCCGCAGCAGTAGCATCATCGGGGGCAGGTTGTGAGGGATCGTGCCCTAAAAACCTCACTATGGATGGTCCTCCAGTTCTTCTTGATATTGATTACAGCTTCTGTTCTATGGCCCAAGACGACGCTGCAAAGCCGTCTCCGACGGCGGAAGGTGGCGTGGCAGCTCTTTTTCCCTCAATTGCGGATGCGGGGTCGGAGCAGCATGATGTATTGCAGCAGTGGAGAAATGTTGCGGAAAGCCACGAGGGTCACAAACTTCCGCACCGAGCCAATTTTATTCACATGCAGACAGGTGCAACGAAAAAAGTTTTTGCTGAGGGCGACGATGTTCTCGCGGCCTTTCAAAAGGCAAATGGCACATCTCCGAGTATTCCTAGCACGCTGGAGGTGCTGCGAACACTTTGCGGTTGCGAGGCGGAGGGAAATGTGGATGACGTGGATCAAGCCCCTGGCGTCTCTCTAACGCTACTGAAACAGAAACAGCAGAGGAAACAAGAACTCGCCCCAGTTGAGAGTCAGCCTGGCACGAGATCGTTGGGTCTGCCGTTACCACTTTGCACCGAAGGCGCCGGAGAGCAACGCCAAGGCGGGTCCTCCTCACCGACACCGCAGCCCTCGTCGAGGGCAAACAGCCAAGAAAACATAATTTCCTCTTCTTCTGAGGTGAGTCACCGGGATTTGTTGGCGCAGGAGGAGAGTACGGCTCTGTTGGCGCTCTTGGACACCAACAACGAGGCTCGGAGAAGTCATGACCCAGATCACGTCAATAGTAGCACTACTTCCACCGATCATCAAAACGAACACTCGCTTGAGGGCTACCTGGCAATGCTCGATCACTTGAGGGGTATTCTCTACCGTCGAGCACCGCCCTTGAAAAAGTTAGCTGCTGCCGAAAAAGAAGACGAACAACGAAAGAAAAGGGAACACCAAAAGGAGGATGACGAAATGGAGCAGCTGGAAAATGTGTCTACCTCGTCTCTGGAGGGAATGAAGGAAAGCCCTCCTGCACCGTTGGAGATGGAGATGATTTCCATGACGCTAGTAGATGATTTGCCGACACCGCATGAACTGCTGGTGACAGCGGCGGCACACATGCCGCATAAGCAACCGCGTCATCAAGTTTCGCCCCCACTGGCTAGCGGTGAGGGGAAGCAACCTCCACCTGCGGGTCTTGAAGCAGATGAGGAGGACTACGACAATAGTGCCGAGGATGAAAGCTGTGAAGAGGACAATGATGATGATGATTTCGAAGACGCTATCCCTCTTCTACCGCAGCCTTGCGCAGCGGTAAGTGACATGTATCAACGTATTCTTGATAGCGCATATTGTTTGCCGGAACTTTTTCCCAGTCAGGAGGTCCAAGGTGAGGCTGGAGTAAATAGCGGCCATGCGTCAGCGAGTGGCGTAAAACCGTGGGATGCAGGAGAAAAAGGTAGTGGTGAGGTTATTGACAACGTTTCATTTCTGCATCCTAGTTCTGCCGAGGTAGAGCATGACACCGACGGCGGCTGTACAGTGGCTGCTTTGCACTCTGTCCAAGAGACTCTTGCCGTGAAGGCGAAAGAAAAAAATGGAGCAACCATGTGAGCTGGTTTATTTCTCTCTCTTTTTTTCTTTTTTGTTTGTCCCCCCTCCTCCTGATTTGCATTGCTTTCATCTAGTGCGAGATGTTTTTTTTTCTTGCTTTTGCTTTTGCTGGACGTTGTTCTCGCGGTATTGTTGAATTATTTAAACGAGGGAAAAAAAAACATGGAAAAGGCGTCGGCTTTGGTTGAATTGTGGGAGATGTAGGGGGGCAAACTGCCTCCGGCAATTGGCGTTCGATGGAGACGCCGCCCCTTTAACTTCAGTGAGTTCATTGTGAGTTTCCGCGAAATAAAGGGTGGCACCATGGGTGTGCGCTGGAGAGGGCGTGCTTGGAGGCACGACGTTGTATACGGTGTTCGGACTGTTGTTGTTGCTTTTTATTCATGGCCTTATTCCATTGATAGAGTGGAGCTGCTTGGGGGGAAAGAATGAGGGGAAGTAGAAACCAACAACAAATCATTTCTTTATTATTCTTCCTTAATGTTTGTTTGTTGTGGGTTTCTTCTTGAAGCTGCCTTACTGGCTCCCCCTCCCGTCGCTTCCGTTTTTGATGCGCCTGGCCCTCTGTGTGTGTTTTTTTTTTTTGCGGCCTCTCTTTCTGGGGGCGCCACCACTAGTGCACGTTTTTTCTCGTGCTTGAAAAGAAAAAGAAAAACCGCGCTGGGGGAGAAGCGGGCGGTGTATGGGCAATCTCCATAGATCACATTACCAGCCATATGTATATCTCACACTATTCAGATGTTTTTTTATTTTTAATTCGGGCATTGCCCACTGCACGTTTGTGTCCGAAGGTGAAGAGCTTGTTCGTTTTTGTTTTGTTTGTTTTGCTCACCTCATGTGCTTTAGTAACCCCCTTTTATATTTATTCTTCGTTGTTGTTTTTTTCTCCAGCGCCCACCCCCACAGGAGTCGGCTAAGTTTGAGTTCCTGCGTCCGGAAGGAACCGGGGCCGGCGGGGATGCGGCTGTCCCACCTGCGTCTCCACGACAGCAGCGGCAGTAGCAACGCGTCTCGCGGTTCGCGCAGTGTGACAGAGCAGAGCTTCAAACCGCCGCACAAAGGCGCGGCGTCGACGGCCCCTCCCGTGCTTCATCCCTCAAACGTTGCGCCACTGAGGAGCTTCGGGCCTCAAGAGGAGTATGCGGCGTCGTTCGACGCTTCCTCTTCAGGGAGTACCACCTTTCCTGTCGCGACTCACGCAGAGGCGCTATCAGAAGGCCGTCGTGTGGCGCCTGCGCTCCACCGCACGGCCGCGTTGGCTCCATCTTACAGCGTTGTGAGTGATGCGATGAAAGATCGCCTAGACGGCACGACGAGGGAAGGCGGGGGCAGCGTCCAGCTCGTGAGTAAGCAGCGCACGACATGGGCGGGAGCCGGTGCTGCTGCTGCTGCTAACCGCAGCAGTGGAAACTACGATGATCTGAGTGCATCCTCTGCCTACGACAAGCGGGTGAAGTCACCGTCAACAGTGAGGTCAAGCAAGGCAGGCACGGTGGACTCCCCTCTAGAGATACCGACCCCAGAGCCATCACATGTAGAGGTCCCCAAGCGACAACCGCCTGTGCGGGGGAGTGTCAGACGCACGATGACACCTGATGGCCGACAGGCATGGGTGCTTTTTTCTCCACGCCGTGGAATTCGTTACTGTTCGGACTCCGTGCCAAAGGCAGCTGTTACTGGATGGAACAGGAAGGTGGTGGGCTCCCCTCCCGACCATCTTCCCCGACGCGTGTTAGACGTTGTTGCGGGTGGAATTGGGGGCGCGCGAGGTGTGGGGAAGTCGAATAAGGCCCCTTCCGGCCGCGATCAACCATCGGCTGTGGGTGGTGGTCACAACCTTAATAGAAACCCTGAACCAAAGCCGCCGCAGCGCTTTGCTGTGCCCCACTTCGCGGAGGCGAAGGAGCGGAGGGTGCTGCTTCGAGCAGAAAAGGAAGGCTATCAGAATGACCATATGCATAATGACGAGTATAGTGACAGGTCATGGGCCACGTTGCGTCGGTGGCTTTTGCGCAAGTACCGAAAGACGAATGGTAAATTACTCTGTAGCAAGAGCGAGATTGCTGCAACGCTGCAGGAGTGGCGCCGGGGGCTCGGGGCTGCAGCGGAGTCCCTTCTTCTTTTACTGCAGCCTGTGCGCGTGGAGAGTGGGGGCGGCTCACGGTGGTTTCCGCTTCCACGTGGGTGGATGCCGTCTTCTGGCGCGGTGATCCCCTTCTCCGCCCAAACAATGATGGAGCCCTCAGGGCACTTCGCCACAGCCCCCGTGCGCAGGAGCAGCCAATGTACGACCGGGCACACGGCGGGGCTTGACGATGACACCATCGTGCCTAAAGGGTTCCCCAATGCGTCGTATTCCACTTCGCTGAAGCGTGCTGTGCTGGGTAGTGGGCAGGACCCCGAATCCCCGCCGCTGCGTGTTGGAATTGACGTCAGCGAGGATGACTACGCGAAGGCGTTTTTCAGCCTTGACCCTCTCCCCATCCATGACGCGGACGACGTTGCCGTTTACGCGTCGCTCCTGCACAAGGGCGGCACCCTTGCCGCCGCTCCTGGTACAACTTCGCCACAGTGGCTTTCAACTGGGGCAAAGCTTACGGAGAAAGGCGATGAGGGGGAGGCAGATGAAGAGGACGAAGAGAAAGAAGAAGAGAATGCAGCTGAGGATGCAGCCGCGAGGCGGAGAGGCAGTACACGCAGTAGAGCGACAACAACGAGGCAACATTGCCGTGAAACTGCAGGAAGATATGGATTGTGGTGCATCCTGGAGCCTCTTACGGAAGAGGTAAGTGTGGCTGCCACAGCAACCCGAGAGCCCTCAAGTTTCTTAGCCAACACGCGTGGCATGGGGAGGAGGCGAGACGATGTTCAAGTGCCTCGGTGGTGCCTTCAAATATGCGGGGGAGCATTACCACGGCGGTACTGCGTTTCCTCTAGTTCCTCCGTGGAGAGCTCCGTCATCTCTTACCCTGATGATGTTGAGACCGGTGCATCCAACACCGTGGTGGCTGCACGTTTCGAAGCCCTTTTTTTCCCCCAACCTCCTGATTACCCTTCGAACATGTTTGGTCCTCGCCTGACGGTATCCGCCGCGGTTTCGGCGACGCCGCCCATTTGTTCTATCCCCCTCACTCCCCAGCTCCTCCGCGCGAGTGAGGTGCCACATTATAGAGCGATACTTATGCAGCAGGGAGAGCGTGTTCGACTGCGGCATGAACAGGAAGAAGGTTTTGTACTTGGGCAAGGCGAGAACCGAGAAGAACTTTTCCTTTTACTCACGCAAGTTACGGTGAATGCCACTCAAAAGTATTGTTTGGATCTCAGTGTCTACCTCATGCCTTGCCGGTTGCTTCGCACAGATTCTAATGCATTCAAACCTTCCCCAGTTGCCGCGTTGGTGGAGGTGCCATTGCTTCATAGCAGTCCTGTGATAACCGCGACGCGGCGGGTGCACGGCGCCAAACTCATATTCACCACAAAAAATGCATTTGTAAAGGCGTATCGGGCAATTTTGTGGGCAAGTGTAGTGAATACCACGGCGATGCGTCCGATGGCCGACATACCAGCTTATTTATGCGACAAAAGCGGGGAATCGCCGTATATGGCACTTCAATGTTTTGCTCCCCTTTCACAAAAAACGGAGCGGTGCGCTTTTGACGCCTATCGGGAACAGTGCGTGCAGCACGTTGCGTCTGTGCTTTTAAAAGAGCGTGATTTCTTTGGAGTGGACGCGTATCGATTGGAGGATTTCGCGCTGGGCACTGCGTCTAATAGAGGCAAACGAAAGCCGCTTTCTTCAGCCGCAACGCTGCCCCTCACGACATGTGCATTTTCTTCCGCGGTCGCCTATGATGTGTACGGTGTTGTCTATCGCGCGGTACATACTCCCAGCGCACGGGTCTTTGATGTACGCGTGCTTCCGCGCAATTCGACAAAACTTCTCTGGGCGGGTGCCACTGCAGTTGGGGGGGATTGCGGCAGCGCGGGTGACTCAGTTTCACTACCTGTGATGGAAGCGGCACTTGTGGCGGAGTATCTCTCGCGTATGCCTTTCCAGAACCCGATTGCCGCCGTATTATGCGATGCCCACAAGTTGTACGTCGTTTCCGCCCCTATTTTTTCAGTGCTTTCTGAAGCAAAACGTCACACTCCTCCCCCTGCTACTTCGATACCCCACCCTTGTCATGGCTTTGGGGTTGTTTCGCTTCAGTGCTTCATGGAAAAGGTGCTACGTTCCCCTCACACGTTGTTTTCCACGCGTTGGGAATTGGCGCGTCTCGTTGCGGCGCAGTTGCTATTGACACTCATCTCACTTCATGGAAAGGGTGTTGTGCTTGGGCCTTGTGCCCCAAGGCGGTTCTTCCTGCAGTGCAATCCGGACGCGGTAAGTCGCGGTGCTGTGGGCGCTGACGACAAGAAGGAGGAGGGTTTGACAACAGGCGATTTTCATCTTGTGGTTGCTGCCTTTGGTGTTACCTCGGATGCCTGGGTGTATGAGCGGCAGCAGCCTGGGGTGGTGGAGTACATTCCCCCGCGTTACCTCTTCCGCGTCGCCCACAGCACGGTGCTTGGGGCCTCTGGGGCGTCTGAGTGGACCGTTGGAGATGACTACTGGTCATACCTCTGCTTAGTTTTTGAGCTTTTTTCTGCGACTGGAGAGCCGCTGGTGGCGGCACCGTCAAGGCCAAAAGAAGAAGGTGAGCACCGGGACCCCAATGCGACGTCGCCCCAGCGTCAAAGGGAAATTATGCAGCTATGGAAGGCCGTTTTTTCTTTGCCGCCTGCTTCCGCAACCAGCGGTGAGGCAAATCTGCATCGAGAGCCGGCGGTGACGCAAGCGCTGCACGATTTTGTGCAGTCACGCGTAGCGGCTGCCATTCTGCACAAGGTCGAGGCATGGGTGACGATGGAGGAGCATCACCCACGCTCAGACGGTTCAAACGTACGACAACCCCGTGAAGCTGAAAGGAGCCGCACACGTGCTACCCCTGGAGCTGTCTCGCTGGCCGATGCCTATTGGGTGGCTTTGCGCTCACATCCCTCCTCGCTGCTTTCAACAGGAGGGGAGGTAGCCGGTGCTGCGGCTACCGCGGACTTTGCTGTTGCCGATGCTGCCCATTTTGCAGAGAGCATTAAGTCTACGCAGGCCTCCATGCTGACCATTCAACACTTTTGCCAAATTCTTGTAGGCATGGCTCTACAGTCGACAGCAGCTTGTATCGACAAAGCCGCGCACCGTCTGACGTGGACCCTCTTGTCGCACCCGTTTTTTATTGGTATAGACTTTGCAAAGTTGTTTGATGGCAACTTGCCCGTTCCTCACGCGAAATTTGTATGCGGTAAGCTGCTTGGTAAGACGCTGCTGGGCGCGGCGACGTGCGCAGCTTCCGGGAAGTCGAATAGGCACGGAAGCGGATCCCCGACTAGGGGTGGACTGCAGCAGCCGCGGTTGCCGTCTTATTCGGGTCTGCAAGCGGCGCATCGATTGTGTGTGCCTCTCGCTTTGCTCCCCATGGCCGCCGATGACGGGGAAGGTGGAGGTGCCCGGGGTAAGGATGACGCATTTACCCCGTCATCCTCGCGTAGCGCAGGCGGCAGCATCCACGGCATCTACAAGGCCAGCGAAATTGAAGAGATGGAGCAGGTGCAAGAAGAGGTACGCCGGGCCTTGAGGACTTTCGCCTCCACGGATACAGCATCCCCATCTCTGTTGGTTGCTAGGGAGCAAAAGCAGCCAAAGCGTGATGGTTGTCCTCGTGATTCACTGACGGTGGCCCCGCTGACTGCTGTGGGGAAAATGGCCCTTAAGGAAGAGGATGACGAGGGGGAAAAGAATCCTGCTACATCCACGTGGAAGCGGTTGCAGCAGAGAGCGACACTGTCGGCAAGAAGCGCGGCAACGAACTCGGACATCCGCCCTGAGGAGCGTCCATCGAAGTCTCTGTTTCCTGCGGCGTGGGACCCGACGGGTGGTCGTGTGAGCCCTTTCTCTCTGCCCTCCCACTCCTCCATTTCACGCGCGCTTGCGTCCGCGGATCCGCTGCGGCAAACCGGCGTGGATCGGAGGCATTGCCCGCTGGGGGAGCGCTTCCTCCACGTGGCCAATGACGATCACGATCGCGACCACGACGAACGACGGTCTGGACTGCGTGGTCAGGGGGAGTTGCTTCAGGTGGCGGCGGCAGTGACGGTGCCCTCTGGCATCCAAGAGGATCGACCTGGTCATCAGCAGCAACAGTGGCGACAGGAGCAGGGGCACGACGGTGGTGGCGCTTCCCCTGCTTCTTCCGCCACGCATGGCACTAGGCGACCGGCAAGCGCACGAGATGGCGTGCGTGGGAAGAAGATGGCGGCCGACGCGGGTGACGACTTTTTGATCCGCGTGCAGGGTGCCTCCCTGACCACGGTGCTTCCTCACACTGCAGAGCCTGCGCCTGCACCATGTAGAAAAAGTGCGAGCGATGCATTCATGTTGGTGCCCTCCGACGACGACGATGACGACGAGGATGGTGAAGATGAGGCCTGTAAGAGGAAGAAGCATGAGGGGGAAGTGAAAGCGAGGACAGTGGGGGTGTCCGTGCCTCGGGCGGAGAGAAACTCCTTGCTTCCAAGAAGTTTCGGGGTTGTTCGCCGGCGACAGAGCAGCAGAGCAAGCTACAGTACGAGTACGTTTAAAAGCTCCACGTGGATGGCTTCCGTGCCTTCATTCGACGCGTTGGATCCGCATCAACATCAGGTGGGGGCTGACGAGGCAATATGGGAGCTTGTGCACGACGACGGCGAGGATGACGAGGGAGACGACAAGCACGTAACTTTTTATCATATGTGATGTCTCTTCCTGTTTTGCACTTCATTTCCCCGCCCAAACGAGGCGCGTAAAGGCTCCATGTATTATTGTTATTACTATTATTATTTTGTTGGTATTTTGTGCATTTTGCGTGCCTCCCATTGGGGGTGGGGTGGGATGGGGAGCTGTTGCGTTGTGTGCACTCCGTCAAAGTCCTTTCTTCTTATGGGGTCGGTGGCAGTGAGCACCGCCTCGAGGTCACAGGCCCCTCCCCCACTGTTGTACGCACAGTCCCGCCCTCCGTCGGCGCACGTGGCGTGGGGGCTACGACTCTGTTTCTGCGGCTTCGCTTCGGGTCCCCGCATGCTTTGCAAATTGTCTTCCTCTCTTGTGGCCTACACTCACAAGAAAAGGGCTGAATACGAGTAAAGTGGCTGGCTAGCAGCTCCAGACAAGGAAGGGGCGGTGTGCTCGTGCACGCGCAACAGTAATTATATATATATATATATATATAATTAATAAAGAAGAAA